TCCTCAGCCCCTTTCCATCTCCTGATCCTGAGCCCCCAGCCCCACCATCTCTTGACGTTGTCTTCTCTGCCTCCATCCCAGGCCTCACTGCCTCTCTGGGTAGGATTCCGCTCTTCACTCTTCTCCATTGATGGTTCCAGGGTCCTCCGCTCCGAGACTGATAGATTAAGCACTCCCCTCTTTGTTACAGAATGTCCATCTTTAGATTTCCAACCCTCACAATCAGTCCTGATAACACTTATTCACCATTGCATCACAAGAGACCCATCTATATTTCGTTTCATCAGCCCTTCCTGGATAGGCTGGACACCGCTCACTGGAGACTCTAACTTCCTCCACGCCCTCTGGATCTAGGTTCCCTCTTGAAAGCTTGTAAGCCAGTCACTTCTTGCCTTTTTATCCCTTCCCCCATATTGGGTAGCCAATGTCCGATTTGCCCATCCCTGTCTACCCTTTATGTGGAGGGGGTGGGTATAGTTCTTGCAGCAGGGACTTGTTTCCTCTTTTGAGCTACTGTATTTATAGGTGTAGGTCATGTTTATCGAATTGTATCAGTTGATGCTTTTTTCCCTCTTCTTTCTTCTTAGGGTTGAGCTCTGTTTATCTAGTCATTGAAGTCCAGTCAAATGGGCATCATCTGCAAGTGTGGGTGTTCTTACGTCTGTCCGGCCTCTTTTCATTGGCTGGCCGCCCCGCTCTCCACTCTAGACCTCTGTGGCTGTGTCACTGACCCTGGGCCCATGAGTCCCCAGATGTTGCCTCGTTACTGGCTGACCAGGTCATCCGGGTTCACAGTAGTTTGCTGAACGATGTAGGACTTAGCTCGCCCCTTCGTTGATGTTCTTCAGCCACTTCTCCTTCTGGGTGACGTGCGTGGTTGTCAGTCAAAGTGTATATTTCCCTTACGTCTTAGTCTTGGAAGAGAATTTGCACTGAGAGGATCCGTTCACTTGCCTTGATGTCTCCTGGGCAGGCCACCTGTATGTTCTTGTGGTAACAGTCGGACTGCCCTTATTGTTTTGTATTTTTCCTGTAGGTCCTTCTTTCAAGAGGTATCTTCTGGTTTTCTAGCTGCTCCCGGCTGGTCTGCTTGTCCTTTCAGGTGGAGAAATTTCCTGTCTCTGAAGGTCTGGTTGTGGTTCGGGCTTCCGGTATTGGTCATTTTTAATATACAGTCATATGGTTTACTATGCCTACAAATTGAAAAGGAATGTGGTCATATTCAACATCAAAAACATTTCAAGATATATCTTGAAATATAATGCTGTCTGTGATAAGATAATATTTATACATCTACAAGGAAGACCAGTTAATACCACTATTATACAAGTTTATGCACCAACCACTAAAGCCAGTGGTGATGAAACAGAAGAATTCTACCAACTTCTTAAGTCTGAAATTGATCAAACAGGTCATCAGGATGTATTGATCATTACTGGTGATTGGAATGCAAAGGTTGAAAACAAAGAGAAAGGATTAGTAGTTGGAAATTTTGGCCTTGCTGATAGAAATTATGCTGGAGATTGCATGAAATAATTTTGCAAGACAAATAACTTATTCATTGAAGATACCTTTTTAAAATACATAAAAGATGACTATACACATGGGCTTCACCAGATGGAATACACAGAAATCAAACTGACTACATCTGTGGGAAGAGATGGTGGAAAAGCTCATTTCTATCAGCAAAAACAAGGCCAGGGGCAGACTGTGGAATAGATCATCATTTGCTCATTTGCAAGTTGGACTCCTGGTGTGGTGCTGTAGGATCAGTATTGGACTGTGATCCACAAGGCTGGCATTTCAAACCCACTAGCTGTTCCCTGGAAACCCTATCCAGGGTCATTGTGAGTCAGAACTGACTTGACACTTAACACCAACTTCAGGCTGAAGCTGGAGAAAATTAAAATAAGTCTGCCAGAGCCAAAATATAGCTTTAAACATATCCAACTTGAATTTAGAGACCATCTAAAGAGCAAATTTGATGCATTAGACATTAATGAACCAGAATAATTGTGGGATAACATCAAGAACATCATATAAAAAGAAAGCAAAAGGTCATTAAGAATATAAGAAAGAAGGAAAAGACCAAAATGAATGTCAGAATAGACTATGACGCTTACTTTCCAGCATAGAGTTGCTAAAGCAAAAGGAAGATATGAGGTGAAAGAGCTGAATAGAAAATGTCAAAGGGCAGCTGGAGAAGAAAAAGTCAAAGATTATAATGAAATGTGCCAAGGCCTGGAGTTGGAAAACCAAAAGGGAAGAATATGCTCAACATTTCTCAAGCTGAAAGAACTGAAGAAAAGATTCAAGCCTCAATTTGTAATATTGAAGGATTCTGTGAGCAGAACGTTGAATGATACAGAAAGCATCAAAAGAAGGAATACACAGTCATTGTACCAAAAAGAAATGGTCGATGTTCAACAATTTGAAGAAACAGGATATGATCAAGAGCCATTGATACTGAAGGAAGTAGTCCAAGGTGCATTGAAAACTTGGCAAAGAAAAAGGCACCAGGAATTGCTGGAATGCAAATTGAAATCATTCAACAAACTGATGTAGCACTTGAGGCAGTCAGTTATCGATGCCAAAAAAATTGGAAGACAGCTCCCTGGCTAACTGGGAGAGATCCATATTTAT